CTGCAGTCCTGAGATCTGACTCTTGAGTAGCTAGAATTACAGGCTCTTGGCTCTTTGTCATTTTTTAATTCATTATTTGTTTATTATCTTTTTACTTTTAACTGGCTGTCTTTCATTGTTGAATTGCCAAAGGAAGTTTATATATTTTGGATACTATTATGATAATGTTTTTGGGTTCAGAGTGTTGTTTATTTATTTATTATTTGTTTTGGCAGTACTGGAGTTTGAATTCAGGGCCTTTCGGTCTCTACCACAATCACACTTGTAGAACTGTTTGTGTTATTCTCTAAGGTCTCTCAAACTTCTCTGCTGGGCTGGCCTTGAACTTCCATTTTCAGCCTCCATAAAAGTTAGAATTCCAGAAATAAGCCCTGGGTCCCTTACTGACTATATACTTTACAATCAAGTAATCTAGTTTTGCATTTACTGCTTTAGATTTTAATATCAAGAGATCACCACATAATGCAAGATTTCAAATATTTGCAACTCTAGAAGTTACTTTTTATTGCTTACATTTAGGCCTTTGTTTATTTTAGTTACATTTTTATATAGTGAAAAATTAGAGTCCATATTCATTATTTTGCCTGTCCCATTTTCTCAGTGCTATTTCTTGAAGAAATGCTATGACTTTAGCATTATCTGATGCTTTCCAATGGTATGACTTTGGCATTATTGTTAAGAATGTATTGATTGCATATGTATGTGTATATTTAGACCCTCAGTTCTATTTCATTGACATATGTGTAGTAGTATGTGAGTAGTACATTCTTTTGATTCCTATAACTCTATGTAATAGATTTTGAATTAAAAACTCCTCCAAATTTAGCTTTTTCCTCCTTCAGATTATTTTGTATATTATTTTTTTCTATTTTAGTTTTAGTTTGTCCCTTTTTGTGATGGAAGCACCAAAAATAAATCTGTTGAGATTTTGATAGGGAATGCATAGAATCCATACATCATTTTGAGATTATTTTTATCTTTACAGTAGAAACTCTTGTAATACATTGCCATACAATGTCTTCCATGTATGTAAATAATCTTTATTTTTTGTTATTATTTTTTCCCAGATAAGGAAAAAAACTTAGTGGATTCTTTGGGGCTTTTTTTGGGGGGGGGAGGGGTCCGGTCGTGGGGCCTGAACTCTGGGTCTGGGCGCTGTCCCTCAGCTCTTCAGCTCAAGGCTAGCGCTCTACTACTTGAGCCATAGCACCACTTCCGGCTCTTTTCTTTTTGCTTATGTGGTACTGAGGAATCGAACCCAGGGCCTCAGGCATGCAAGGCAAGCGCTCTACCACTGAGCCACCTTCCCAGCCCCTGGGACTTTTTTTAATAGATAAGATATATTAAATAGATAAGATAATCTGGATGTCTCCTTTTTTTTTTTTTTTCCTAATCTGCTTGCCCTGACTACTATGTCTACTATGTTGAATAAAAGCGCTAAAAGCCAAGATTTATTTCTTGTTCCTCATCTTAGGAAGAATTTTTTACTATTTTTACATTAAAAATGAAAATTGTATAGGATTTCTTCCTTAAAATTGAATTAATTTTCTTCTCTTCTTAGTGTATTGAATGTGTTTACTTATGAAGGAGTGTTACATTTTGTTATATGATTTTTCTACATTTGTTAAGATTATCAAAAGTCATTTTACGTTGTTAACATGGTATAATAATTTATTTTCATACATGGAGCCAACCTCACATTCCTAATATAAATTCCACTTGTTTATCATGTATCATCCTTTAATTTGCTTCCAGATTCAGTTTTCCAGTGCTTTGTTGTGTCATTCAATTGGTTGTAAGAAATAATTGGCGTGTAATTTTCTTATGATTTCTTAGGGTTTGGTATCAGCATCTACTGGTATCATAGAATGAGTTAGACTGTTTCTTTTCCTTTATGTCTTTTTTAGAGGGAGGAGTGGGAAGTGCTTGAGAATAGTTCGTATTAATTTTTTGATGATATAACTGATTAATAAAGGCATCTGCTCCTGAGCTTTATTTGTAATAGTTTTGATTATTGATTCCTTTTCTTTATGTTTATTATGTATTTTTAGATTTTTCCATTTTTTTCTACAGTTTTATAAATTGAATGTTTTTAGGAATCTTTCCATTTTATATAGGTTATTTTTGGCATACAATTGCTAATAGTATTTAAATTTTTATATAATATCAGTTTAATCGCCCTGATTTCATTCCTAATTTTAATAATTTCAGTATTTTCTTTATTACTGAACATGCTAGCCCAAGCTTTGTAAATTTTACTTATCATTTCAGAGAACGTGGTTTTATAACCTTCTGGTCATAATTGTGTTATCTCAGCTGTAATGTATTTTATTTTCTCTTGGATTGGGTTTAGTATGTACCTTTCCCCCCTAAGATAGAAGATTATGTTACTGATTTGAGATCTTTATTGTTGTAGGTATTTACAAATTTAATTCCCTGTAGCACTACTTCTGCTACATATTTAACTTTGATAAGTTGTTTTTTCATTTTCATTCAACTGAAGATATTAACAAAATTTTTGTTCTCTTGTAACCTGAGAAGCCACTCTATTTAATTTTAGTCTTAAAAATCTGTTCAGATTTGTTTTATGGCTAAATGTGTGGTATATCTTGGAAAATACTTGGAGTTTACTTTAGAAGTATGTGCATTCTGCTATTTGCACTACAATCTAGTATAAAGACTTGTTAAGTGCAGTTAGTTCATACTGTTGTTTATGTCTTGCACTTCCTGCCTAATGTTAGTGTAGTGTTTTCTTTCCATTAACAAAAATGAGATGTTGAAGTCTCTAACTACCATTGTTAAAGTATTTTATTCTTCAATTCTGTCAGTTATTGCTTTATATTTTTTATATTTCTATTCTTAGACATATATATATATGTTTATAACCAATGTATCTTCTTGATCAATGAATGCATTTTTATTATGTCCTTTACTCATATAACAATTTTGTTTTAGTGTAGCCTTTACATTGAAAACGTTATTACAGAGTGTCTAATATAAGATAAAATGCATAACATTTAAAATTTTTAAGCTTACTAAAATAATTATGAATCCAGAATGTCACTTAGTAATAGAATATAAACATTTCATCTTCCTTTGTTGCTCTTTTATTCCCCTGCCTACCTTTTCACAGAGGAAGCTGCAACAGTGAATTTTGTTTAGTCATTCTCTGCCTTTTAGAAAGTTTGTTAAACTATAATAATTCAACTAATTTTTTTTTATTTATTTTCATTTATGTAGAGATTCAAACTGTTAAGTCATGCATCATTAAATGATGGAGATATGTTCTAAGAAATGTGACATTAGGCAGTTTTGTTGTAGGAACATAATAGAGTGAATAAATGAAAATATCATTAGACAATAGATATCTTGTTAGACCACCTTCATATATACAGTTTTTAAGTAAACTTTGTCATCTATAACCATTTGTATTTTGTGATTTACATCAATTAGAGTGATTTTTAAGATTCACATCTATTTTAGTATGGTTTGTTGATATTTGTAAGTATTCTTTCTTTCTTTTTTTTCTTTTTTTTTTGTCTTGTCAGTCATGGGGCTTGACCTCTGGGCCTGGGCACTGTCCCTCAGTTCTTCAGCTCAAAGCAAGCACACTACTACTTGAGCCACAGGACCACTTCTGGTGTTCTGGTGGTTAAATGGCAATAAGAATCTTACAGACTTTCCTGGCCAGACTGCCTTTGAACCAAGATCCTCAGATCTCACCCTCCTGAGTAGATAGTATTACAGGTGTGAGCCAGGGCACCTGGCTAGTCTATTCTTAGGTATTATTTATTTACCACTTTTACTAATGATGGAAATTTGAATTATTTCAAGTTGTATTTATTACTTTCATATTGAGTACCATACTGTTTACTTTCTTTTATCATCCATAAGTTTTTCTTGGACTACATGTGAGAATTTTCCCAAGGTTGTACTACCTTCTAAGTAGAGTAGCCATTATTACATGTAGTAACTTGTATTTAAATGCTTCTGATTTAAATGAAAACTTAGAAGTTCTTAATTTTTCTTTTAATAGCCACATAAGATAGTGAACAAATCAGACAACACAGAAATAGAAACTAGTTCAATAGAATGCCTTTCTTCTAACATTATGCTTTTTATTTTTTAAAAAATTTATTTCTTTTTATCTTTGGCAGTCCTGGGGCTTGAACTCAGAGCCTACGCACTGTCCTTGAATTTATTTTGCTCAAGGCTAGCACTCTACCACTTGAGCCAGAGCACCACTTCCTGGTTCTTTTGTTTATATGGTACTGAGGAATCAAACCCAGGGCTTCAAACATGCTAAGCAAGTAAGTACTCTACCATTAAGCCACATTCCCAAGCAGCATTATGCTTTTTAAAATGTGCTTTGTAGGGCTGGGAAGGTGGCTTAGTGGTAGGTCGCTTGCCTTGCATGCCTGAGGCCCTGGGTTTGATTCCTCAGCACCACATAAGCAAAAGGAAAAAAGCCGGAAGTGGCGCTGTGGCTCAAGTGGTAGAGCGCTAGCCTTGAGCTGAAGAGCTGAGGGACAGCGCCCAGGCCCAGAGTTCAGGCCCCACGACTGGAACCCCCCCCCAAAAAAAATGTGCTTTGTAGCTGATCTGTAAATTATCACTGATCTCCAAAAAAAAAATGTTAAAATTAAGATCTTTTACTGTATTTTATTGTAAAACTACAGTACAGATGGGTTACAATTACATGAGTAAGGAAATGAGTATATTTCCTATTGAGCATTGCTACCTCCTCCTTTGTTTTTGCCATCCCTTCCCTAGCCACCTTCCCAACTCCCTGCCCCCTGCCCCAAGTTGTAAAATTTCTTTTTAACCTAGTGTCTTCTACATCTCATTGTTACAGTGGGTTAACCTCTATCCTTATTTAAGCATTTTGTTATTTTCCTTCCCTTCCCCCAATTAGAAAAATGTATATACAGGGCACTAGAATCAAATACAGTGAAAACAGGGTTATACCAGGGGGAAGAACATACAAAAAAAAACCCCACAAAAATACGGAACGCTTCACAAATTTGCATGTCATCCTTGCACAGGGACTATGCTAATCTCTTTATCATTCCAATTTTAGTGTGTGTGCTGCCCAAGCAAGCACAAAAAATTACGATTCTTTAGAAACTTATAGAAAGTTGACATTGTGCAACATCCAAGCAGCCTGATGAATTGGTAATTCATTTTTGTAATTTAGTAATTTAGAATTCTGTTACTCATCTTGATCATTCTTTATGGATACTGATAAGGGAAAGATTTGAAATAAAATATACATGTTTTCACAATGAATAGTTAAAGAAACACTACTCGAATGTATCTTTAGATAGCGTTGCAGGATGATGACTTTGTAAGATTAAATTCTGTGTTTTTAAAATCCTCATACTAAGTTCTATTTTCATCTTCAGGATTTGATACTTTTTACTGTTCATCTGTTTTTCCACCTTTTATAATTGTAAACTTCCTGCCACTGCTGTTTATATTGAAGTGTTGGTATGTGGTATCTGTAGAATGTCTTTTTACAGTTATATTTTTCATTTCATAAGTTATTAATGAGGTTACATGTGTTAATATGTATATAGTATATTTGAGTCTACTATGGATTCTTGGGATTTTAATATGTATATAGTATATTTGTGAGTCTACTATGGATTCTTGGGATTTCTTTATATATTCTACATACTGATATACTGCTGATGTATAATGTATATATTTTTTCCTAGATATATAGATAAGTGTATAGATAGATAGATGTTTGGTTTGGTATCTTTGAAGAGCAAAAGTTTTAAATTTTTACTAAAAATTATCTTGTAAGCTAGGTGCCTGTGGCTCACACCTACAATCCTACAATCCTCAGGAAGCTGAAATCTGAGGATCATGGTTCAAAGCCAGCCAGGGCAAGGAAGTCCATGAGACTCTTATCTCCAATAAATCACTCAGAAACCTGGAAGTGGTGCTGTGACTCAAGTGGTAGAGTGTTCACCTTGAGCTGAAGAGCTGAGGGTCAGTACCCAGGTTTTAGAGTTCAAGCCTCATGACCCCCCCAAAATTTTTTTTCTTGTAGCTTCTTTTTGCTCTGTTTAAGAAATCCTGTTTATTTTTTTATTTGTTTAAAGTGTGTGTGTGTATGTGTGTGTGCATGCACATGCATGCCAGTAGTGGGGCTTAAAGTAGGCCCTGCAATCTTGCCTGGCTTTTTTTGCTCCACACAATGCTCTACCATTTGAGCCTCAATTTCCACTATTCCACTTCAGGCTTTTTGCTGTTTAATTGCACATAGAGTCTGATGGCCTTTTCTGCCTGGGTTGGCCTTAATCCATCACTTTTTAGCCTCCTGAGTAGCTAGGATTACAGGTGTGGATCCACCAGTACTGGGCTAACTTTTATAGTTTTCTTTCACCTTTAGGTCTTTTTAGTTCTTTGTAGGTTTTTGTTTTCTTTAGTTTTATTTTGGTTTGGTATGGTTTTGTTGATACAGCATTTAAAAAATTTTTATTTTATTGTAAAGATGTATAGAGGGGTTACAGATACATGACATTTCTTGTCAAACATTGTTACCCCCTCCTACTCTCCCTTTCCTTCCCTACTCCTCCCACCCCAAAGATGTAAAGTTCTTTTCCAACATAGTATCTTGTGAGTATCATTGTTGCCATGGGTCATCCTGTGTCCTTGTTTCAGCATTTTGTTATTCCCTTTCCGCTCTCCAAATTAGATAAATATATATGCAAGATGCAGGGTACCAAAATCAAATACAGTGACAACAGAGGATATATGATAGGGGGAAGAACATACAAAAGAAACAAAAAAAGTTCACATAGTACATTAAAAACAACAATGACAAAGAAAAACCTCTTTTGTCCATTTCTTGGGGTTCATTTTGGTTAGCATCATTTTATGTGGTCATATGTACATAGCTTTTGAGCTTTTTTATTCACCTGATAAGACTATCCTAGACGTATACTAATTATTGCAAATAAGGGAAACCATGGGACCTATATTTCTTTGAATCTGGCTTACTTCTCTTAATATGATTTTTTTCAAGTCTTTCTTTTTATTTTGTGTGTGTGTGTGTGTGTGTGTGTGTGTGTGTGTGTGTGTATGTGTATGTACACACATCACATTTTCTTGATCCATTCATCTACTGAGGGACATATGAGTTGTTTATTGCAGCATTATTCACCATAGCTAAGATGTGATACAACATTTTCAACTCAGGGCTACATACTTGCTAGTGAGGCAAGTACTGTACCATTTAAGCCATGGCTCTAGCTCTCTATGCATATTTTTATATAAGGATCTGTATTTTCTTTTTTTAATATGAAGATATAAAGATATTGTACAGAGGGGTTACAGTTACATGAGTAAGGTAGTGAGTACGTTTCCTATCCATCATTGTTTCCTCCTCCTTTGCTTTTCCCCTACCATCCCTCCATCCCCACCTCACCAACTCCTCTCTCTATCCTCCCCTCCCAAGTTGTAAAGTTCCTTTTCAACAAAGTATCTTGTACATATCATTGTTACAATGGGTCAACCAGTATCCTTGTTTCAGCATTTTGTTATTTTCCTTCCCCTCCTCAAATTAGAAAAAAAGGTGTATACAAGATGCAGGATACCAGAATCAAATACAGTGAAAACAGGGGTTATATCATGGGGGAAGAACATACAAAAAAAAAAAAAAACAACAAAAATTCACATAGTACATTCAAAACAACAGCGACAAAGAAAAAACCTCTTGTGTCCCCATCTTGGGGTTCATTTCACTTCAACCACTTTGGTATGGAGGTTCCTCAAAAGACTACACATAGAGCTCCCCAATGACCCAGCAATCCCACTTTTGGGCATTTACCCAAACCATCACAAACAAGGCCACACTAAAGCTACCAGAACAACTGCATTCCTCCCAGCATTATTCACCAGAGTGGAGATATGGAACCAACCCCGATGCTCCTCAGTAGATGAATGGATCAAGAAAATGTGGTGTGTGTATGTGTGTATGAATTCTGTGCCTCCATCAGAAAGAATGACACCACCGCCCCATTTGTCAGGAAATGGAAAGACTTGGACAAAACTGTTTTTTGTAGTTGTTGTTTTATTTTTGTGAGAAGATTTTTTAACTTTTGACTTAACTACTTTGGTCATCGTGTTAAGCAGGCTTTTGGGGACCAAATACTTGACATAAATTAAGGGAGGAAGAATTTAACTTACTGTTTTCAGCCCGTGGCTGCTTGTTTTGTTGCTGCTGGGTCCCTTATAAGGTTGAAGATCATAGTGAGAATAACATAGTAGAGCAAAACAGCTCAGCCAAGTAAAACAGAGCATTCCTCTATGACCTACTTTCTCTCACTGTGTTCTTATGAAATCTCCATCCCTTCCAAAATAGTACCATCAATAAGGGACCAAGCATTGAACATATGCACCTATGTGGGGCTTTTGATATGCAAGCTATAACAGTCTTTAAAGTACTATTTAGGGCCTTAATTTATTCTTTTTAAAAGTTTTTTTTATTATTTTGTTTTTAATATAAAGATAATGTGCAGAGCGGTTATAATTACATAAGTCAGGTAATGATTACATATCTTTTTACACAATGTCACCCATTTACTCTCTCCCAGTTTAGTTTTTTTGTTAAATAATGCGTTTTAAAAATTCACATTTATTGCCTTGAAGTAAAGTCTTCCTATCAGTCTATATGTTCCATGTATAAGTTATTGCATTATACATATATAGTTATTTATTGAAAAAATGTTGTACAGAGGGGTTATAGTTACATGAGTAAGATAATGAGTACATTTCTTAGCAAGCATTGTTACCTCCTCCTTTGTTTTCCCCCTACCATCACTTCCCTCCCCTCCTCCCCAACTCCTCCCGCCCCCTCCCGCCGCCCCCCCTCCCTATCTCCCCATTGTAAAGTTTGTTGTCAACATAATGTCTTGTCAGCTGGGGAGGTGTCTCCTTGGTAGAGCTCTTGCCTTCCTGCATGAGGCCCTAGGTTCGATTCCTTAGTACCACATACACAGAAAAATCCAGAAGTGGCTCTGTGGCTCAAGTGGTAGAGTGCTAGCCTTGAGCAAAAGAGCTGAGAACAGTGCCCAGGACTGGTTCAAGCCTCAGTACTGGCAAAACAGAAAAGAAAGAAAAAAGTTTTGCTTGGAGCTCCAGTGATGCAATCAGTTATTGCATTTTATTTGTCACATCTAAAACTATTTACATTTCTTTTGTTTTTGATTCACTCTATATTTCTTTATTTTCTTCTACTTTTTATTATGTATTCCATTGACTTTAAATATTTTATTTAGATAGTTTTTCATTAATATTTAATCTTTTTTTTGTTATTGGTTGTGGAGCTTGAGGTCTGGGCCTGAGTGCTGTCCTTCAGCTCTTCAACTCAAGGCAAGCACTATACCACTGGAGCCACAGCCCCACTTCCAGTTTTCTGGTGGTTAATTGGAGATAAGAGTCTCATGGACTTTTCTTCCCGGGCTGGCTTTGAACTGTGATCCTCAGATCTCAGCCTCCTGAGTAGCTAGGATTACAGGCGTGAGCCACCAGCGCCCGGCTAATTTTCAATCTTTTATCTTTCATTAAATATTTAAGACCATTCACTATCATCTAAATATTTTATTAGAAATTGAATTACTTTTCTATAACAATTCTCTAATTTTTATTGTGACTTCTTCAGTTACTAGTGATTTCTTTTCTTTTCTTTTTTGTTGGTCTTTTCTTAGGGGGGCGAGGGGGATTGAACTCTGGGCCTGATCACTTTCCCCAGTTCTTCAGCTCAAAGCTAGTGCTCTATCACGTGAGCCACAGTGCCACTTCTGGTTTTCTGGACTTTGAACCATGACTCTCAGATCTCAGCCTCCTTATTAGCCTGGCTGGTGAATTCTTTAGGAATGTTTTTTATACTACATCTATGAAGGTATCTTTTTCAAAATTGATTTTAATGTATGTGTAAATGAATTTGTTGTCATGAAAACCTTATTACTAGTAGAAGGATTGTAATTATTCTTAGTAGAAGGATTGTAACTCTTAGAAATTCATTCTACAATATTGAGACTGTTTCTATTGTTAAATTCAATATGCTTTTATTACATATGTTACACATTA